CAGATTCGGGAGAAAAGTTAAAAAAGAGGCCCGAACACATCTTTCCTACCTTCGGCTGTGTTACGCACGTAGTGCTTGAAGCACCATTACGAATAAGACAAAAGGAAACAACAAACAAACAAACACAATATGGAAATAAAGCGAGGGTATGGATGCGCGCTCACAACGGCGCAGAGATACAACTATTCGTACTCGATGGACGTCCGTGCTGCGTCCGAAAAATTGAAGGCACGATGACGCGAAGCGTGAGCTCTCAATGCTCTGCTATGCTGTCAATGAGGTGTCGCTCAGATTCGGGAGAAAAGTTAAAAAAGAGGCCCGAACAAATCTCTCCTACCTTCGGCTGTGTTGATACTCGTTCTCTCTTCTTTTTTCAGGTTCTTGTCTGATTCTGTTTTAGAATGGATTTGCAGACCCACGTCCTGAGCTCGTGTAAACCGCAGCACTGGTTCGGTTTTTTTGGAAATAATGGTGCTCGGATGCGTCTAAGGGCTTTAATCTTTTATGTTTTCTTTAATTTTAGAAGTCCGTCAGTTACTTCAATACGTTCAATTTTGCAATTTTTACTCTGTAAGATTGATGAACTCTGATCCTGAAAATGGCGTAAACTTGTGCTGCTTTGCCGAAACTTTCTGAACCCCTTTCCACGTAGGGGATGCCCTACCAGGAAATATCACATCACGCCCCTTTAACCAGCCATGGGTCTACGCCCTCAGATACGAGCCAGTCCAACCCTGTTCAGCGGGCTGATTATTGAAATTGATAGACAAAACGATAGACAAAGAAGACGAAGGGAAAACGGAGCGATCCTATTGGTGAAAGTGGGTGGTTGCAATGAACAAAGGAGGTCAGTGAAAGACGGCAACCGGCAACCCTCGAGAGACCCTATAGTAGTTAGTCCATCATTTTCTCCGGGAGTCTAGGACAATAACCCGTTGCAACCCATAGAATCACTCCATGTTCCCTGATGTCTCCTTTTCCTATCGATTGCAACAATCAGCTCGCTGCATGGAGTGATGATCAAACTCAATCAGCCAAAAAACAAAGTAAAGACATCTCAATCCGCGGGGGATAGCTGCGAAACACAACATGCGTTCAAAATTCACACATGCGAACACTCAACAGCGGGCTGATTATTGGAATTGATAGACAACGCAATAAGGGAAAATGGAGCTATCCTATGGTACTACTACTGCTAATAAGCCGCTCTTATTGCGCTTCTGTGCGCTCTGCGACACCCAACTGCCACTGACACCGATCTTGCCAGAGCTCCTCCGGCAGATCGCATCTCCTTATTTCCTGCTTTATTTCTTCAATCCACGATTTGGCAGGGCGTCAACTGGGAAAAAAAAAAAAAAACACATTGGATCTAGAGTCCAGACTCTTAAAAACATTCACAAGAAAAAATACTCTTGATTCAATCAGATTCAAGCTTGAATCAAGAGCCAAGCCTCTTAATTTGAGCGGATTTCCTTTTGATTTAAGCTTAAATCTGATTGAATCAAGAGTCCTTTTTCTTGTCAATGTTTTCAAGAGTCTGGACTCTAGATCCAATGTGTTTCTTTTTTCCAGTGTCCTCTTACGTTTTCTGCCTATTATTTTTCCCATTGGTAAAGGTAGATAAACGCAATGGACAAAAGAGGCAACTTTTGCAACTACGCCGCGGCTCGGTGAATGGGTTTCCTCACGCTAAAGGAGCCTTTTTACGTCACCGACGGTGCACTGGGTGCACAGTATCCTCGTTTTTCGATGCCTCTGAAGACGCCATGTATACGTGGGTTGCCCCTTGAGGTTTTAGGCACAAATTACACGGTCTAATTAAGGTGTTCAGGATGGGTTATCAATGCCTTTTCAACCCTTTATACTGGCCGCGCAAGGCCGCTCATCGATTCCTCAATTCGTTGTTTCCCTCAAGAAAGAACGTAACTGCACTGCATTGTTGCCAAATTTCCTCGCGCACATTTCTTTTTTAACAGAAGAATCTTGGGAATTTCCAGTTGAAAATAGTACTGATTTTTCTTGTAATCTCATACGAAAATCAGAAAAATGCTCAACGAAAATTGCGTTAATTCTTGTACAAAGTTGAATTGTTTGAGTCAATTTTGCAACTTTGCAATGGAGTTACGTCCCTTCGTCCGAGAAACGACGTATTGTTTGACCATATAACTCGTGTTTTTTTCGAGATGACTGGGACACCGAATCCAACCTGGTGCAATCAAAGAAAACAATATATGGATGCTTCTAACCTATTGATCTAATTTTTGCCTCCCGTTATTGCCATGCTACCGGAAAGAGAAATGCGTTGAAAAATGAAGTCATTGAGAAAAATACTATTTTCGGTGTCCTAGCGGAAAATAATATCAGTACCACGGAACAAACAAAAATGCATGCTCCTATTCGAAGAGTGGCAATCATGAGCGAGGCGTAATGATCGATTATCGATATTTCCCTATTTGAAGTTGTGGTAAATAATCGATCATTCAAGCGTTTGTTGCGAAGCCCTGTTTATCGATCCTTTTCCATAGAGTTAAATGGCAGATCAATCGATATATCGCAAAGTACGCCACGCCACTGGTGAAAATTCGAATCTTGGTTTGCGCGATCAGGTGTTGCAATATATGCAACTATTCCTGTCGTTTGATAAAAAAGCAGTTGCTTAATCGGAACAACGCATCATGAAAATAAAATCAAAATTTACGAAAAATTTCTTTGTAAACAATACATGAACTGGAAGCTTTTAGGTTCTTTAATTTATTATATCAAAACACCAAATCAACAAATCTTCGCAACAAATGATGGCGCGGTTTTGAATTTTCATCTCTAGTTGTTAAAAAATCAAGTAGTTACGAAGGATCGTCCAAAAAGTAAGTTTACATATTCAATATTTCTTAAATTGAGATAGATAAATCTGTAAAACGCGTTGAAAATCCACTACACTGTCAGCCTTCTGACGCGCTATAGATTTTTATATTTGGTTCAATAAAACTCCAGAAAAGGGGATTTTTCTGAACCCACCTCCGCTTTGCGCGAGTCCAAAATTTCACGGAGCGCCATTAGCAATTGAATTGCTGTGAGCGCTGTATCTATTGCTTATCCCAAAAAAAGTGGCTTAAAAATGGTTGAAAGTTATGTCAAATTTAAGCAAAAACCGCGTTACTCACTAATCAACGCTGCTGCATTTTTGATTGGACGTATCTCAGCCATACGGAACTACATACATGCGCGTGCTTCAATCTTTTCAGTGGAGCAAGTTTTGCACAAATCGTTGGCGTTTCTGTACTAATGGACCGATTTTAATGTATGGGGCTTGTTTGAAAGCCGAATAAGGGTTCCTCTAACAACATGTGATGCCAAAATTCCTAACAAATACGATACTTGTCTAAATGAAGCGAGATATAGGGGAAATCGCACATAATTCCATTTGACTTAATTCGAAATCCACAACACAGATTTAAATCAAAAGGCACTATTTGCAGAAAAATATGTTCTTGGGGTCTACCTAACAGAAGGTGCGGTAAAATTTGGTCCGCAGTGGTACTTTTTGACAAGAAAGAATTTCTAGTCACATATTTTGTCAACGACAAGAATATAACCGTGCAATTTAGGTCCAAAATTTTTCTGATTTTTGCACGAGATCAGATGGAAAATAAGTGGAATTTTCTGTCGGAAAATGCCAAAAAATCTCTAGTTAAAATTGCAATTTACGAGGGTAAACTTGACAACATTGAAATGGAGTTACGTTTATTCGTGGAGGAAACGACGAATAGAGCACGACACTTTACGAAAAAGGTAGATTCCGCTTCGTTAAAACAACAAGTCATTCCGTATAGAGAGCAAACCCTACCCCGTATTTGTATCACTCGGGTTCTTTGGGCGCACACTGGAAAAAAAAACACATTAGATCTAGAGTCCATTGACAAGAAAAAATACTCTTGATTCAACCAGATTTAAGCTTAAATCAAAATGAAATTCGCTCAATTTAAGAGGCTTGGTTCTTGATTTAAGCTTAAATCTGATTGAATCAAGAGTATTTTTACTTGTCGATGTTTTCAAGAGTCTGGACTCTAGATTCAATGTGTTTTTTTTTCCAGTGCATGCGGTAAAACTGCAGACATGCGTTATGTCTCGATTTGCGGCGTACCAACCTTCCCGTCATAATTCATTTTCCACGTGGGAAATTCCTACCGAACGTCATTTATTTGAAAATTCCGGCAATTAAATTCTATTCATTAGGAATTATCTGTGATAACTCCAAGCCATGGTGCTGGTTCGACCTCCTTTTAAAAAATAAAATAGTAGCGGAGATATCGAAACACCGTAACTGAAATACGCATTTTTGTAGTTTCGCCGTCGATAAAGACTGCGGCATCGAATTTCATTCTAAACTTTTTGACAGTGTGCAAGTTCTATTCAACCGCCCTTCTTAACGCTTGCCGAGTCTTTTAGACCCTCCTCGGTGGGGTGTCTTTCTATGCTTCCCAGCAGCGTGATTGTTGAAATTGGTAGACAAAGAGATAGACAAAGAAGATATCAGGGATATGGAGGGATCCTATTGGTGAAAACGGATGGTTGCAATGGACAAAGAAGGTAGATAATGGACTAAATAATGGCAACCCTGCAGAGACCCTACAGTTAGTCCATCATTTTCTCCCTTGGTCTCCAGGAACCACTCATTTGGGATCCTATGGGTGAAAACGGATGGTTGCAATAGACAAAGAAGGTACATATAATGGACTAACTAACGGCAACCCAGATACCCTATAGTTAGTCCATCATTTTCTCCCTTGGTCTACCGGAACCACCCATTTCAACCAATAGGATCGTTCCAAACTCTCGGTGCATGTCCTCTTTGTCTGTAGCTTTGTCCATCAATTTCAACGCAATCAGACCGCAGGTCCCCTTGATGAGGTGTCTTTCCGACTCACCCCACAAGAAGCTCCTGGTCCACGCCACCTCCTGCTCCACGCCTATTGGTTTAGTTAGAGTACACGGGGGCTAACCTGGGTTGGGTGTGCTGTTCTGGAAGCTGGACTTCTTCATCCACTCGTAGGGACTCCTGGGCGGCGGCGGGCGGGGCAGCTGCGGGGACGACGACCCGTTGACCGTGCCCGGGCTGGAGATCTCGCTGCCGGACACGGTGATCGGCGGCGAAGGGAGGATGTGCTCCTCGTGGCTCGCCGCCTGGGGCCCCACGTTGACGTTGACCAGGTCGGAGACGGTGGTGACCCCCCAGTCCTGCGGCGACTGGAACATGTGGTGGTGGTGCCCCCACGGGGCCGTCTGCTCGCTCGACTCGTGCATGCACGACAGGAACTGCTGCTGCTGGTGGTACGGGTTCGAGTACCAGCCGCCGGCCGGCGGGTACGAGGGGTTCTGGTGGTGCCGGTACATGCTCGCCGTGAAATGATCCATCATCCTCGTATCACAGACACATCAAAAACACACACACGGCCACAGTTCACGCGGGGTAGCACGGGGTAGAACACGGTCGACACAGTCGCGGCGACACGGTCGGTGACGGGCGCTCCGCACTGGAAACTGGGTAAAAAACAGGTGTCGCCGCTCGCCCAGGCGGAAGAGAGCCATGGAGTGGTGGGCGGGGCCGAGGCGGCCAGTCGCCGCGCCGGTCCGCGCTCATTGGCTCCGGGAGCTCTCCTCCCTCCGATCCGGCCGCCGCACAGGGTCCAGGACTCCATTTTTCGTTAACACCATGCTTCGGTGACTAAGGATCAACACCGCCTAACTGCAAACTGACGATTTTGTAGGTCAAAGAAAACAACTTGGCAATTTTTGCAGTTTCGAGGTTAAATCTGTCATTTTTATATACATTACAGAGCATTTACAGCGATCTTACGCAGAATTGGGAAAAACTAAAAATATCAGCTCGCGTATTATACTGCCATGCTAAGGAAAAACGCCATATGAACAATCCCGCAAACAAAATGTTTATTTTTGAGGAAAGCTATGGATATTTTTCCTTGAAATTTACAGGGTCTTTATGTGAGATTGCGAACAAAATTATCTGAAAAATTGGGAGAAAAATATTTGCAAATTTTCCCGAAAATTTGTGATTTAATACAGGAAATTTGGCAACGCCTCAAGGTTCATATGGCGTTCTTCCTTAGTGCGGCAATATATATTACTGTAGAATGCGGCAAAGTTGCTGCCTCATTTTTCCGAATACTGCCAGTTAAGCGATATTTTTCCTTAGCCGCTCGGTTTTCCAAATGTCCCATTCTTTTATTTTACTTATTTTCCAATTTCACAATGCGTTTGTGTTTTATTGCTTACATTTATTTTATTTATTTCATTTCATGAACACTACATAGATAAATTATGATATTATCATTTTGAACCTATGCCAAAGGATTCTAAGCGCTCCGGGGATCTATCTAGAGTGAAAAATACTGTAAGTCACTTAATAAAATTTAAAAAATTGGTTAAACGAGGAACAGTTTGAAACGTTTGCCAAAATTTCTAAAATAAATTTATATTTCCTTTCAAGAAAATATTAGATCGAATAATATTGGGTACATTGATGAAAGAAGAAAATTATAATGTCCTAGGTGAGTACTCTCCTTCCAATGAAACTTCTTTAAAGTTGAAATTAGGTGAACGCTGAATATTTCAACTCAAAGATATTTTTGAATTGTGTTTTTTCATCTTCTTAGTTTTTGTCTCCAAAATACAGACAGTTTATTCTTAATTTTCCTTTAAGTTTCTTTAAAAAAAGAGAAACATTTCTCCTTTTTTTTTGTATAATGTTTCTACAGAATTTTCAACAAATATACTTAAGCATTATCAATTTGCTCATTAATAATTCATACTGCAAAACGTCAAAACTGAGACTGTTAAAAATATGAATAGAGTGTTTTATATCACCCGTATCAGGCTTTATTCCTGGTTATTTTGGTCCGATTTTCTCTTGGTATCAATTTGCGTTAAAATTGTCGGTACTTTCTGAATTTGATGGAATAATTCAAAATTTTCACGGAACCCTCAACTTTCAATGCCACGACTCTCCTTTCATCCCTGAGGGGAAGCCGGGGGGGGGGGGACTTCGGGGCCACGAAATTTGGATTCCTTTGGAGTTGATTCCTTATGCGACCCCGCAATCGCCGACTTCTTCGGGCCTAAAATGACTGAGAAAAAACCCTGATATGGGTGGTCTAGAACACCCTGTATACCTATATGCGTATATCGAGAAAAATCTTTCCTTAAACTTACCTGCCTGACAGGTTCAAGGCAAGGCAAGGCCTGCGCTTGCACGTATACCAAAATTAAATGTAAGTAATATATTTTATTTGTAAAAAATAACTTCTAATACATATTTTGTTATTTATTAGGTAAAATAAAATCGATTTGAAATAAAAAAGTAGGTTTTATGCGTATTATTATACTGTTTCTTCCAAATTGATACGAGCTCTTATTCCTTTTTCGTGTCAAACTGCATGAATAATAAAAGGGCACAGAACGATGATGAAAGTTCAGTTGGAAATGCCCAATAGTTCCCTGATAATAAAATCTGCAAGTGGACTTTTTTTGCAACGGTATAAGGACTTACCTCCCTCCCATAAACAGGAAACGATGGGTTCCTGACCAAAATTTAGCCGATTTTTGCGTAAAATTAGAGGAAAAATCAGCGAAATTTTCAAGCAGAAAAACGTGACAGTTTTCTTGTAAAAGTTCAGTCTGTGCATGGTCATTTTGCAGCGTTGAAAAAAAGGGCAATATAAGAGTGTCATGAATGCTGGACGGAATCTACTCTTTTTGCGGAGTGCCATACGCTTTTATGGTGATAATTTCACTTAGCATTCATGACACTCGGCAAGCGATTTCGGAAGTTGTATAGACTCCGGCACCGAATTTTACTCCTCGATTTTGAACAGTGTATTTCATTTTACGTCTCATTTGGATCGAGTTCATCAGAAAGGCACATCGAGTTTAGAATGTTTCTGAGTTTCACCAGCCGTACATTTTCCCTGCCACAAACTGAAAGTCCAAAAACAAAATTGTCTAGTGAAAAGAGGGGTTAAAGATTATTTTCTACATTGAGCCTCATACAGGAATAAAACTTCAAACATCTTCCTCTCAGTTTCAACTCAATGTGAGTTGCTTATTCCTATCTGACAAAATCGGTCCATTTCTGCCGTGCTAAGAAAAAATGCCGTATGAACCTTCAGGCATTGCCAAAATTCCTTTCATACAACGCGAATTTCCTGGTAAATTTATAAATATTTCCCTCCCAATTTTTCAGATAATGTAGTTCACAATTTTACCGACGGATTCTGAAAATTTAAAGGAAAAGTATTCATGACTTTCCTCAAAAATAATGAACATTCTATCAAAGGGAATTCGGCAACTCTCGAATGTTCGTACGGCGTTCTTCCTTAGCATGGCAGATTTATCCTCTGAAATTTTCCATTTTCTCTCTTATCTCAGCTCGATTCAGGTTTCACGTCTCGGGCGGAGCGCAACCCTTGTGCGGCGGTTGAGTGCTAGCGAGCATAATTACCAGCCATAAAAATCCCCCCCCTCGGTGGAAACGCTCGCGGTCGACTGCGGGGAGGTTGCGTCTAATTCCGAGGAACGGCTAATGACAACGATGAAATGATACCGTGCAATCGCCTCTAAAACGGAGCTCATTTTTATTCAATTCCGTGCCAGTGTTACACAGTTAACTCGCTTTTGTTTAATTAGAGTTCGTTCCGTCTTGCATCCAGAGCCCCCCCCCCCCCCCCCCCCNACACACACCTAGAAGCCCACAGCCCACCGTCCTTGCAATGGTTAGCTGAGCGCACACGCATGTTGTGCGTTTTGGTCAATTCTCGAAAGGCTCACAATCAGTAATGCTGCAGTGCTGAGGAAAAACGCCGTATGAACATTCCAGAGTTGCCAAATTTTCTTGGATAAAATGTTTACTTTTAGGAAAATTATGAATATTTTTCCTTGAAATTTTCAAAAGTTTCAGATCAAATTACAAACAAAATTATCTGTGGAATTGGTGGACAAATATTCAAAAAAATTCCTGAAAATTAGTGATTTGACAAAGGAAATTTGGCAACGCCTGAAGGCTTATACGGAGTTTTTCCCTAGCACGGCAGAATGCGTGTCAGCCGTGTCACCCAATCGCATTTCATCGCTCGTAACATGTAGATTAGCAGAAAGTATATTCTCGGTAATAATTATTCAAGAACATTATACTGCCAAATACAGTGGCGTGTCGTGTTTTGCGATATGCTCGATTAATCTGCCATTTAAACCTATGAAAAAGGATCGGTAGACGATTAGACATGGTGTTCGCAACGAACACCTTGATCGATTCTTTACTACGGCTGCAAATGAGGAATTATCAAAAATCGAACATTCACGCCTTACCACTACTGTGCCGAAACTGAGGAAGAACGCTGTATGGAAATTTGAATATTGTCAAATTTTCCCCGATAAAGTGAGTTTTTTAAATATATGTTATGATAGACAAAAAAAAAAAAAAAGGTTCGAATAATTTAACCGAACAAAACACAAGAAAATGGGAAACCAAGGCTGAAAACAAACAGAATTCCAGGGACGTTTCGGGGTGGTTTCGACCCTCTCCTCGACCAGGAAACATTTAAGAATCAAAAACCCATCAGCCGGGGTGATTATTGAAATTAATAGACAGAGCCATAGACATAAGAGATAGAGGAAAAATGAATCTATCCTATTGGGTGGTTGGATTGGACAAAGGAGGTAAGTAATAGACTAACTAACGGCAACCCACGAGAGGTCCGACAGTTAGTCCGTCATTTCCCCCCTTAGTCCGTGAGAAGCACCCGTCTCGACCGATAGGATCGCTCCATACTCTCTACGTCTTCTTCGTCTATAGTCTTGTCTATCAATTTCAATAATCAGTCCCCTGATCCCCATTTGTGATAACAAGAAAGAGAGGTTACTGCAGAGGCATAGAAGAACTTCCATGACAGAGGTCTGGACCCTGCTTGAAGATTCAGATCAAATTGTGAGGAAATTTCTCTCAAAAGTAGAGAGAAAAATATTCACAAAGTCTCCCAGAGAATCTGCGTTTTATCAACATAAATATGACAACAGTTGGAGGTTCGTTAGGGGGTTTTCCTTAGCTCGCCAGAGCAGTGCGAGAGTAGTTTCCGTGACCGCTATAGCTTACTCAAAAGAGGTACGGTGGTACGCAGCTTAATCCAAAGGCAAAGGGGTGACGCCCCCCCCCCAAATGTATGCTTCGTGCCTTTTAGAAGGCCATTTCGAGAAAAATAAACGCATAAGGATCATACTTCGGAAATTTGAAGGCAGCCAGCTCGTCCTAGGACATTGCAAGTTCACGCCACGCGCCATCGCGCCTTCAATTTTGTGCATGCAACACGGACATCCATCAAGCACGAATAGTTGTATACCTGCGCCGTCATCGAGAGCGTCCTTTCTATATTGCTCTATTCCTACATTGAGTCGGTTCTATTCGTCGTATTTATAGTGGTTCTTGAAGGGTTACAGACCTCGTATTTCTACA